GGGACCAGCAGGTGGCGTGGTGGTTAAGGCACTGGACACTCCCACATGGCTGACCATGGTTCGAGTCCCGGACCTAGTGGCTTACTTTCTCACTTTCTCTCCCTCTATTTGTCTCTCTCTCTCTGGTCAAATTAAAATAAATGAATGAATATATAAAATTAAATAAATAATTCTTTAAAAAAAAAAAGTTAATGGGACCAGCAGTTAGCGTAATGGCTATTTCGCTGGACTCCCATGTAGTCGACCATGGTTTGAATCCCAGACCCAGTGGCTTAAGCTCACACCGGGTGCATATGCGTGCGTGCCCAAGATCCTGAGAGGAGAACGGAGGAGAAGGGATTGTGCCATGGCCATCCCCCTAGGGGGTGATTTCTCGCTTTCTGTCTCTATGTCTTTCTCTTGTCTTTCTGGCAAGCGTATGCGTTTTATAGCAAAAAAAGCCTGTTGGCTTAGCAGGTAGGGTGGCAGTTAAGACACTTGGTCATTGGGAAAGTCATGCAGATTTTGCATAGAAAAAAACGGAAAAAATATTCATGATTCTCCCCATAACGTAATATAAATGTAAGGTAAAATTAGATAAACAACATGATACTGCTTATGTAATGTGTAAAAGTATACAAAAAAGGGGCAGCAGGTGGCTGGTAGTTAAGGCTTTGCATTCCCACATGGCGGACTGCAGTTTGAATCCCAGACCATGTGGCTTAAAATATCATGGGGGGTGGGGAGGACGCAGATGGCATAGTAGTTAAGGTGTTGCACTCCCACCTGGGCAACCATGGTTCAAGTCCTAGACCTGGCGGCTTGAAACTCACACTGGGCATGTGTGCCCCAAATCCTAGGAGGAAAGTAGAGGAAAAGGGATTGTGGCATGGCCATCCCCATGAGGGGTGATTTTTCACTTTCCCTCTTTCTTTCTCTCTCCAGTGAGCACATGTACCAGACATCAAATCCTAAAACAAACAAACAAACAAACAAACAAAAAACCACACACACAAAGTAAAACCGTCGATATGGATATATATATACACATATTAGATAATCAAAAAATAGAGGACCAGCTGCTGGTATGGTGGTTAAGGCAGCTGGATCCCACGTGGCTGACTTCAAAGTCTGAGGTCTAGACCCAGTGGCTTGAAAAACACATTGGGGGGACTAGCAGTTAGTGTAATGGCTATGTCGCTGGACTCCCATGTAGCTGAATGTGGTTCAAGTTCCAGACCTGGTGGCTTAAACTCACACCGGGCGCATGTGCGTGCATGCCCAAGATCCCAAGAGGAGAATGGAGAAGGGATTGCGGCGTGGCCATCCCCCCGGGGGGTGATTTCTTATTTTCTGTCTCTCTGTCTCTTGGGGGTGATTTCTCGCTTTCTGTCTCTCTGTCTCTCCAGCAAGCACATGTGCTCAAAGTCAAAAATCCCTCTCTTAAAAAAAAAAAAAAAAGAGAGAAAAGAGAACAGGTGGTTGGATGGCAGAAATAGAAGATCTCTTCCACATGCCTTTTTTATCTTGTGTATCTTTCCATACTTTTTGAATACCCTTTTGTTTACTTGGTGTAACTTTTGAAACATATAAATATATAACATATTTATGTAAAACTAAAATTGAAGTTGAAAAAAGAACCCAAAAAGGCACTGAAATTCTATGTGGTAACTTATTAAGGCAACAAGACACAGAGGATGCCCTTTTTGTCTATACCTTTTGTATGTTGGAAAGAATTCATAAAGCATTTTGAAAGCATGAAATTCGAGGGTCTGACCCCGGAGATTGGTTTGGTAAGTAGCTTAAAGGTGGGGAACAGCCAGCTTCCCAGGGGATTCTTACGCAGGTGATCCACGGACCACACTTGAGAGACACTTGGCACTTGACCTCAGGCCTGCCCATGACCTGAGCCCCTGGAGCAAGCAGTTTGTCAGAACAGTGTCGAGGTCCTCGGACACTGCACCAGCCCCACTCCCCCAGGGACCTCTAGCTGTCACCCCGGTGCCTCAGTCAATGCCAGTTCTATACCTGTGGGAACTGCCTGGGCGCCCAGGCCCACCCTTCAGGTTGGGGACAGCAGCAGACGGCACCCGACTTGCCTGGATAGGGTGGGGGATCCTGAGCCCAGAAAGCTGCCCCCGCCCAGTGCCCAGCCCCACCTGTTCCCGGGCAGCACTGAACATGGGCTCCTGGATGTCCGTGTACATGCGGCGGAGGGCGTTATATCCCCCGGGGATGCTCTCGAGGTTGCTCAGGGCGCGGTCCTGGTTCCGCATCATCTCTTGCATCATGGCTGGATTCCGAGCAAGCTCCATCGTCTAGAAAGGGAGAGAGACAGCATGGGCCCTGGGACCGGGGGCGGGAGGAGGGTGGACTGTAATTCCTTCTTCGTAATCTTAGCGCCAATCCTGCTTTTGGTCGGCCCTTTCCTTTTTAATTTGCTGTAGGGCACAAGTGTTCACTAGAGACAGAGTGGGAAAGCAGCCCCTGGGGGTGACCATACCACAATCCCTTTTCCTCTACTCTCTTCTTGGGATTTGGGGCATGCCTGGCATGTTTTCTCAACCTGCCGGGTCTGGGACTCAAACTACGCAGTCCCCCACGTGGGATCCAGCCACCTTAACCACCACGCCACCTGGCTGGCCTTGGCTGGACCTTTCTAGAGGACAATGATCTTTGGGTGAGGGCAGCATCCCCCCTCCTTCGGGCTCAGGGAGCCCACAGAAGTGTCGGGGAACACAAGGAAACTGAGTAAGAATGAAACAGGAGGCAGAGGCAGAAGAGAAAATTACATCTGCTGAGCACCTCCTATACACAGGCACTGAGCTAAGTAACTTAGAGAATTCAAGCCGCGTAATCCCCACCACAACCATCCCAGGTAGGTACTCCTGCCCTATTTCAGAGAGGAGAAAACAGGCTCAGAGAAGCTGACTTGCTACCTGGGACACACAGCCGGTGACTGGGGGAGACAGGATTCAAAGCCAGGTTGGTCTGTCTGACCAAGACCGCACTGTCATTCCTAGCAAATGACCACAAGCTGGGGAGGGGAAGGATTCAAGCTGGAACAGTGCTGCCAGCACCCTCCGGCCACTCCCCTCCCAACCCTCCCCAGGTCTTCAGCCTGATCGAACTTTGAGAAACGCCGATCAGCTTCTTCTTTCTTTCTCCTCCGTAAGAGGTCCCCTTAATCCCCTTTTTCAATAATTATTTTAACTTTATTTATTTATTTACTTACTTATTTTAATTTGACCAGAGAAGGACAGAGAGAGACAGAGAGAGAGAGGGAAAATGAGAAGGCAAGCCACCAGGTCCGGGACTCAAACCACATTGGCCATGTGCGAGCCCAGCGTCCCTATGTGTCATGCCATTTGCTGGCCCTGAGGCTGCCTTAATCCTAAAAGAGTTCATCACAAGAAAATGAGCATCACTACTTTTTTTTAAAGACAGGTTTTTGCTATAGGGCATGTGCACTTGCCAGAGACATGGAGAGAGACAAAGAGACAGAAAGCAAGAAATCTGTTCCCTTCCCCCGGGGGATGGCCACATTGCAATCCCCTCTCCTCCATTTTCCTCTAGGGATTTTGGGCATGCACACACATGCCAGGTATGAGTTTCGAACACCTGGACTGGGATTTGAACTGCAATCAACCAGGTGGGAGTCCAGCAATGTAAACATTATGCTATCTGCTGGTCCCCTTTTTTATTTTTAATTAATGAATCTATTTGTTATGATTTTCTTTCTTTCAAGAGCTTTTGCCTTGGGGCACATGCACATGTGCTTGTTAAAGAAAGACAGACAGCTACAGTGAAAGAGAAAGCAAGAAGTCATCCCCCGGGGAAATGGCCACACCTCAATCCCTTCTCCTCCATTCTCCTCCTGGGATCTTGGGCACCCACGCACATGTGCCCAGCTTGAGTTTCAAGCCACCAGGTTCAGGACTTGAACCACAGTAGGCCACGTGGGAATTTAGCAACGTGACTGCTACGCCCTCTGCTGGCCCCTATTTGTTGTGATTTTCAAGCCACAGGGTCCAGGACTCAAATTACAGTCAGCCACGAGGAAATCCAACACCTTAACCACCATGTCACCTCATGGCCCAAACCTTTCTACTTCTTGTTATTTCTTGTTCCCATCCAACTTGGGAGACTCCCTCTCCTTCCTGAATCTGCTACACACTTGCTCTAAGACACCTTCATAGACTGACATACTCGGCCTCGCAAGACCCTGACCCTTGTCCTCTCACTCAGTAAATACTTCTAGAGTGACTGCTCTGTACCAGGCACCGTTCTAGACGGTGAAGAGCACCCAAGAGGGCGGAGGTGGTGCAGTGTGATGCGACACTCTAAGGCTGACCCACGTGGAAGGTCCTGGGTTTCTATTCCCAGGCTTTTGGGCGTTTGCACCCACCATCCAGGGCTGGCTGAAGCTATGGGTGGGCTACACCCCTGTTGGGGATGCCTGTCTTTCTGTCTCTCTCAGTGATGGGAGAAACAAACTCAAAAAGAGCAAAAGACACTAAAAAATCCTCGTCCCTGTGGGAGTTATCCTCTGGGGAGTCCAGCGCTGGGCCCACAACTCATCTGGGAATCCTCTATCCCTGTCCCTAGGCAGATTGGACCATGAGAAGAATCGCAAAGACCAACATCAAAGCATCCTCCTGGCGACCAGCAGGTGGCATGGTAAAGGTGCTGGACACCTCCACATGGCCAACCACGGTTCAAGTCCTGGGCCTCTGTCTGTCTCTGTCTCTCTCTGGTGAAATTAAAATAAATGAACGAGGGACCAGCAGGTGGTTAAGGGTGCTGGACTCCCACATGGTCAACTGCGGTTCGAGTCCCAGACCTGGTGGATTGCTTTCTCACTCACTCTCTCTCTCTCTTTGTCCCTCTCTGATAAAATTTAAATAAATAAAATGATTATTTAAAAAAAATAAATGAACGAATAAGTAAAATTAAATAATTATCTTAAAAATAAAAAGAAACATCCTCCCTTGGCCTCCCTTCCCCACTGGGCCCCACCAGCCCCGACACTCCCCAAACATCACATATCTTTTACTCCTGGGCTTTGGCGCCTGCTGTCCCTCAGTCTTGAACCCTCTTCCTTTTCTCTTCTGCTTAATCTGTCTTCCTCCTTTGGGTCTCAGCTTGGTGGACACTCCCTCCAAAAGCCCTCCTCTTAGCCCCAGAGTAGAGTCAGCAGCCCACATCTGTGCTCCTGGGGGACCTTGTGATTATCCCCATAGGAACACTGACCACGCCCTAGCACAAATGCCTACTCACTTGTCCCACTTCCTTTCTTTTAAGAATTATTTATTTATGTATTTATTTTAATTTGACCAGAGAGGGTCAGAATGAGAGAGAGAGTGAGGGAAAGGGAGACACCAAGCCTCCAGG